AATGACTTTGAGTCATCACATAGCAAAGATCATACGAGATTCATGTCACAATATTGCCACTCAGTATTGGTGGGGTCTCCGTCAAGACATATGCCTGAGTCTCATTTCCTCTTCAGCTCCATGGATTTAATAGTCCTGCCTTGCTTCAGGGTGATGGGAACTAAATCAGTGGCCACAGAGCAAGTGGCTGGCACATCACAGATGCTCAGTGAAGGCCCCTTTTTTCCCCACCTCATTCTTAGGCTGTAGATGGTCTTACATTCCCCCCCCCAGACAATGTTCCACCCTCACCTTTAAGGACTCAGGGAGACTCTTCCTTAAGGACTTCTCTAGCATCTGCAGCATCTGTGGACTTTGCAAAGGAAACATCTCGGCAGGTGCTTTAGGCTAAAGAGAAGATTGAGAAACATCAAGGAATGAGAAGAGCTGGAAGACCCGGACACAACAGGCAGTTCTAGTTAATGTCATGAGCTACATTCCTGCTGTCCCGATGATGCCTATTCACTAACTCCAAGAAAGAATAGGGCTGGTAGAAAGTATAGATGCCACTTTCTGAATTACTGTGACCGTCTAAGCTTATAAAAGTATTTATGAACATTGTTTTCATTTTTATACCACCTCAATTCCAACAATTAAGAATGTACTGAGATAAACAGATCTATTCTCTAAGCACACATGAGCATCCTTTGAGATTTACCATCCACCAGTGATAAGCCTGACTCTGCCATTTAGAAACATATGATACTGAAAGTTGCTTTACTCTTCACTGGCTTCTTGATTTATGCATCTATAAACAAATGGTCATGACTATAGAATTTATTTCACAGAGCAGGTGAGACAATTAAATAATTCAATATACATAAGGAGTTTGGAACTACATCTGGAACACAATAGATGTTCAATAATTACAATTATTAATACACTTTTTATTAATTATTATTTCAATTTCATGAATCAATGTGGTACAGTGTACACAGCTGATATGCAAGTATGGTGTATAACGATCAAATCAGGGGGTGAACATCTCCATCTGTCTTCAGCAGAAGCCACAGTCAATCCACAGTGCATCCAAATACACTCTACAGAGTAACATTTCTTCTGTATAACTACTTGCTGCAGATTTGAATCAAATCAGAAAGGATGGAATGAGATTAAATCCATGTAAAATGGCACATAGTAAATGGGATGATGTCTTAGTGTAAAGTGACTGGCTTGAGGGTGACTCAATATGTATCAGTTATTTTAATTAATACTAGCATTATTCCCTAAATAAAGCATGTCTTTTTTGATATTAGAAACAAAAATAAAAGAAAGACAAAAAGGCTTCTCCTCTGAGACCCTACACAGGGGACCCAGTGGAGCTGCCCTCTGGTGGGTTGCCAGAGCAGCAATGAGCAAAGTCCTATCGGAGGCACTTGGAACCTTTGACACGGTCACTCCAGTGCTTGGAACTCATCCAAAGAAAACAATGCCAATGAGCAAAAATACTTTGGGGAAAACTGAATGAAGATACAAATATCACTTTTGTGTATGTTTAGACATAACATCTACAAAGATAAGAGCTTAGAAGGAAAAATTAAATAACACTGTAGGTGAAGGGTTTTTTCATTACATTTATTTTTTATGGTTTTAAATTAACAACTCATCTCCTCTGTATTCCAGTCCCCATGTGAGAATCCACCTAGTCTCTTTACGACTAAACAGGGCACTTAAATTCCCTATACATCGATAACCACCCTAGGTAAAGCCAACTGCCTTAGAATGCTACAGAGGATTATATAAGATAATGTTTGCATGGCATGTATACACTTTGTGGCAAATAAATGTCACCTGAGCCAGCAAGCTCCTTTCAGGTGCCATTATAGTCTCTGGCTCCCACCCACTGATAGCAAGCTCCCAAATCTCTTCAT